CTCTGCATGGTACACCAATTGGGAAGCGCCCCTGTGGTTGATGGAGTACACCTATATAATGCTGCATCTGTCATAGGAGGTGCTCGCGATCTAAATGTCCAGCGAGCTGCGTTGCTTGCTGATGCACCAGACAACTCAGCGGATTGTCTCGGTGAGTTCCCTCACAGCGCAACCCGCCCTTGTGTGCTTGCATGTGAGGACTACAGACCTGTCCCTACCCCCTGTAGGGGACCACGAGGCGGGAATGGACCTAGGTACGCATCGACTGATTTCCTCGTTGTTGCTGATGCCGACCAATGGCAGTACAATCAGGAAGAGCTCCTCCCCACTCTGCTTGAACAAAGTATGATTGACTCCAATTACCAACCAATGCTGGATGCCTCTACTCTGCTGGAGGTGCTTGTCGAGCATTTTGAGGCCAGGCAGGTGCGTTATCCCAGACCCCCTGCGCGCCAGGGGCATGCTGCAATGCCCGTTCTATGTCTCCAGGACCTGATCCCACCTGCCCCGGTCGTCTCTCCCCGCGAGAGTGGAGGACCAGAGGTCTTCGATCTGGATGCACGCCAATGCCTACTGCCAGGCTCTCAAACGCAGATTGATTGGCTATTGCAACGCGCCCCTATCTCCCAGCTTTCTGGGCCGCCCCGTGACCTTGACGGGCCCGAGCGCTTTGCGGCGTGGGTCGGTTCTGGATGTGTTGGCCGTTCGCCCGCACCTGGCGAAATGGTTGTGCTCACTTCTGATGGGTCCTTCCATAGCAATAGCGGGAGAATGGGTTGGGGTCTCGTAGTCAGCCTGGTTGACCTTGACACGCTCCTGCTTCCTGGGCAGTTCATCGGATGCTGCTTTGGTGACCTTGATTCTCTTGTCGGCGGCGAGGCAGGCGGACAAAGATATCACGATGCCTACTCCGCAGAGGTCGCTGGCCTTTGTTGGAGCGCACTAGCAGCCCTTCAGCTTGCCATCACATGTCCAGTACTTTTTCGCTCGGACTGCACATCCGCCATGGCTGGAGCTCAGGGCACCGCTAGTATGCGAGCCGATAACTTGTGTCAAGTTGCTCGCTGTCTACATGCAGCTGCTGCCCAAGCGAACCCAGCGACTACTCGCTACCAGCATGTCGAGGGCCACGCAGGGGACTATGCCAATGAGCTCGCAGATGCTCTGGCGAATCACGGGGCTCGAGGCCTCAAAGCTCTTGCACCGCTTCGCTTTGATGTGACCCTGTCTGCAGACCTTGCACCATTACAATGGTTGCCCCATATCTGCTTTTCCCGATCCCATGGCACAGAGGTACCCCGCCTACAGCACCAGGTTCTGAGGTGGGGCCGCGGACCGGGGGTGTGCCAAGGCGATCACGATCTTGCGATGCGCCCCTTTCTCCGCGCTTTCTCGTATCCGGAGCGCAACTCCTCGGAGCCAGCACCGCACATGTGTCAATGGCGCATGGCTAGCTTCAATGTTCTGTCTCTGCATGATGGTATGGGGCCCGCTGAATATGGAGCCGGCATCCATGGTGCCATTGGCAGGCCGTCTCTCCTACAACAGTCCCTTGAGGCCGCTGGAGTTGTGCTTGCCGGATTTCAAGAGTGTCGTACTGCTGCGGGATCCATGCGCTGCGGCCGGTACACCCGTTTTTCGTCCGGAGCTGACTCACGCTCCTGTTTCGGTGTCGAACTATGGCTACATGATGATAGCCCCTGCCCGGCTTCCTCTGTGGCAGTTTTGCACTCCTCGCCCACTACTCTTTTCGTGTCAGCTACCTTTGTCAATCAGCCAATTCGCCTGATTGTTGCACATGCGCCCCATCGCGCGCATACTTCCACTGAAAAACAAGACTGGTGGAAGCGGTTTTCACACCTATGCCACTCCTATGCTGGTAACGGCCAGGTTGTCCTCATGATCGATGCCAACTGCCGCATTGGAAGTGAAACCTCACAGGCCGTCGGGCCACATCAACCCGATATCGAGGACGAATCCGGATACTGGTTTCGCCGCGTCCTCGAGGACATGGGTATGTGGTTGCCGTCCACCTTCGAGCATTGCATGGTTGGTGATGGAGGCACTTTGAGACAGAAGCGAAGCGGCTCACTTGATAGGTCCGACTACATCGGCATTCCCGCGGCTTGGTACGACAGTACCTGTCATGCCATGGTCGAACCGCAGATATCGGCCGGCCATGTGGGCATCGACCACATTGCTGTCGTGCTAGATGTATCGCTCCTGATCTCGAATGTAAGTCGCGCACCGGCTAGGGCCGCGCGTATTAATGTACGTTCCCTAGCTGACCCGCAGAACTCCGAGCTTGTTACACACATCATCAACAGTTCCCCCCGTCCAGCATGGGATGTAGATGTCAGTGAGCACGCTGCGGTGGTTGTGGACCACCTCTACCGAGAATTAGCGGCTGCTTTTCCGTCACAGCGTGGGCGTATGCGCATTGGCTATCTTTCGGAGAGCACCTCAGCTATCCATAGAGTTGTTGCTTCACTGCGACACTCAGTGCGTCAAAGAAGGCTTGCTTTGCGAACAGCCCTGCTCCGCTGCGCATGGCAAGCATGGCAGCCTGCCGCTGCCGCTTTGCATGTGCTCTTCAGCGGTCGGTGGCTGTGGCAACTTGAGACCCGTTATGCCTTGGGCTGCATGCTCCTGCGCAGGTACGGTCTCTTAGTGCGTCGTGCCTGTCGAGAGGACCGCAATCGCATGTATGCTGAGATGGCTGATGAAATCGCCACCGCTGCTCCCAATTCCATGCATGGGGTAGTTCAGAAGGTTCTGAAGCCCAAAAAGTACCGTAAGCAAGGCAATGCTCCACTACCTGCTCTGTATCGCCCGGATGGCAGCCAGTGTTTGACGCAAGCTGAAATCACGCACACTTGGCGCGAACACTTCCGGGTACTCGAAGGAGGCCTCACGACGACACCCGCGGATTTGCTCGACTCTTGCCGTCAATCTCAGGCCAGGTTCGAGGGCAGTGATGTCGTGGATGCGGCGCATATGCCTACATGGCTTGGCCTTGAGGCAGCCCTTCGCCACACTGCCGGCCGCAAGGCAGCCGGCCCAGACCTCCTGCCGCCGATGTTGTGCAAGCGTTTCAGCCCGCAACTCACTACGTTGCTGTGGCCATTGCTTCTTAAAACAGTATGCGGGGCTGCTGAGGCAGCCGGCCTCAAGGGCGGTACTCTGCATCACATTGGGAAGCCGAGCCCCAAAGCTCCTCACACATGTGATGCCCACCGGGGCATTCTAGTGCAGTCGGCAGTCGCTAAGGCCTTTCACAGATCACTTCGCGGACTGGTGGTGCAACACTGGCAGACGACTGCCTTGCCCCTCCAAATTGGAGGTAAATCTGGCTGCAGCGCGTCGTTCGGCCATCTGTGCTCACGTGCATTGTTGTACTTTGCGCGGAGCCAGGGGTTGTCGGCAGCGCTCATCTTCATAGACCTGTCCTCCGCATACTATGCAGTGATCAGAGAAACGTTGTTCGGCAAGGAACTTTCCTCGCGACCGGTCCATGAGATTGCCGAAGCACTTGGCCTCGACCGAGAGGACCTTCAGGCCCTTACCCGCTTAGTTGAGGAAGAGGCCATACTGCAACA